GTTTCTGAGATTTTCTTGCAATTTAAAAAAAATATTTTACTTTTAAAGTACATTTGAATTTGGTTTTTTGTAATATATAAGATTAGTTGTTGTTGTTGTTGTTGTTATGTACTCTCAAATCAACTGTAACTCATAGTGACCCTGTGAACAATAGCCCTGAACCCTGCCCAATCCTGAGCTAATTTCACTGTCTCGGACACACTTAACCCCTTACACCAGTGACTGTGTCAATCCATCTCATCCAGGGTTTTACTCTTGTGCTGACCCAGAGCCCATTTTATTTTTTTTTCCCAAATGGATAACCAGTTGTGCCAGCATCATTAAAGAATCCATTTTCTGCCCATAAAATTGAACTTGCACATTTATCATAGGTTAACTTCTCAATAACTTTGATATTGTGATTTTTCTATTTTGCTTTAATAATTTGCATTTAACTTTATAGTATGTTTAGATTGGGAAAGACAATCTTACAATTCTTATTATTTTTCTCTTAACTATTTTCAGGTATTAATTCTTCACATTAATTTTAAGACAATTTTATTTAAAACCTTATTGGGATTTTAGTTAGACCTGCATCCATTTTATTTATAATTTTGAGGAAACTGATACTCTTAAGCTTGTGGGCTGCCTTATCTAAGTGGGCCTTACCCGCCCACTTACCTTTGCATTTATCCAGATCTTGCTTTATATCTTCTCATTCATTTTATTCATTTAGATCTTGCTTTTCTTATATTTGCTTCTTGATATATTTCTTATTATGTATTATAGTTTTAGTTGATGAAAATTAATACTTTATTAATACTTACTGATAGTAAAGAGAAAAAAATTAATTTTTAAATGTTTGCCTTGTGTCAAGCCACTTTACCAAAGAATATGAAATAACATGGTAAGACTGGGAAATGATAAGAATTATAGATGTGTAGGAATCTGGGGAGCACTAGGCCAGCTGGAAGTTTTAAGAGGTTAGAAAAGGGAACAGACCAAGGGCAAGGAGAATCAGTTACGCAGGGACATTGTTAGGAGGCTTACATCTATGGTGAGCAACTGTAAGTGAGAGCAAAAAAACCCCCAGTGAATGAAACAGAATGCTATTTTTTTTCTCTCACACATAATCCGAGTCTATTGTAGATAAACCCAGGACTGGTGTGCTGCGATCCCCAGACTGGGTTTAGCTTTAGCTTTCCACTTTACCACCTTTCAGAATGGCCCTCGTCTTTATGGCCCACAAACTCTCCAGCCTTCATATCCATGTTCCAAGCAAGAGAGTGGAGGAAAGAAAAGGAAAGACAAAAAGTACATCCCAAATATTTCTTCAAAGAAATTGCCCAGCAAATCTCTATTTATTGCAGCATTATTCACAATAATAAGAAAATGGAAACAACCCAAATGCCCATCAACAAATGAATAGACAAAAAAAATTATGAATAGACAAAAAAATGATGGTATGTTACACGATGGAATACTATGCAGCATTAAAAAAACAGTGTTGTTGTTATGTACTGTTGAGTGAGTTCCTTACAACTCACAGTGATCTATGCACAATAGCTCTGAACCCTGTCCTATACTGAGCCAATCTCACTGTCTCTGACTCACGTACTCCCATTACCCCAGTTACTGTGTCAATCCATCTCCTCCAGGGTCTTCCTCTCATACACTGTCCTTACATCTTTCTAAGCATGATGTCCTTCTCCAAGGACTTACCCTTCCTGACAACAAGCCCAGAATATGTGAGATGGAGCTTCAAAATCCGTCTCCAAGGAACTATTTGGTTTCATCATCTCCAGGACAAATCTGTCTTTTCTTTTGACAGTCCATGAAATGCTCAATACTCTTCTCCAGTACCATAACTCACAAGCATCAGTTCATCTTCTGTCATCCTTACTTGTTGTCAAGCTCCCTGATGAATACCAAGTAATTGCAAAGACCATGGACTGGATCAAGTGCAACTTAGTGTCTTGACTGACATTGTTACTCTTCACTCTAAAGAGGTCCCTGATAGCAGATTTTCCCAATGCAATTCATCCTTTGATTTTCTGACTGCTGGTGCCAAGAGTGCTGATTGTGGATCTGAATATGGTGAAATTGTTAACAATTTTAGCCTACTGTCCATCTATCATGGTGCTGCCAGTTGGTCCAGTGATGAGAATCTTTGTTTTCTCGATGTTGAGTTTCAATCCATTTTGAAGACTGTAGTCTTAACCTTTTTACAGCAAATGTTTCAGATCATCCTGTTTTGGCAAGCGAGGTTGTATCATCTGCATAACAGGTTATTGATGAGTCATCGTCTAATTCTGATGCCACATTCCTCATAAAGTACAGCCTTTCAAATTATCTGTTTCACATATAGATTGATATGGTATGGAGACAGGATGCATCCTTGACACACTCCTTTCCTGATTTTGAACCATGCAGTGTTTCCCTGTTCTGTCCTGACAACTGCTTCTTAATCCAGATACAGATTTTGCATGAGCACAGTCAAGTGTTCTGGGATTCCCATTCTCCTCAATGTTAGCTACCATTTGTTGTGATCCATGCAGTCAAATGTCTTTGCATAGTCAATGAAACACAAATAGACATTCTTCTTGTATTCTCTGCTTTCAGCCAAAATCCACCTAACATTGGCTATGATGTCTTTAGTGCTATGGCCTTTTTGAAACCCAACTTGTATTTCTGGTAGTTCTCTGCCAATTTACTGGTCCCGTCATTTTTGGCTAATCTTCAACAGGATTTTGCTTGTATGTGATATTAGAGATGTTGTTCAAGAATTTCTGCACTCTCTTGGGTCTTTTTTTTTTTTTTTGGTTTGTTTTAGTGGAAATAAATACGGATCTTTTCCAGTCAGTTAGCTAGGTAAGTGTCCTCCAGATTTCTTGGAACAACCTGGTGAGCATGTCCAGGGCAACATCTGTTTGCTAAAGTGTGTCTGTTGCTATTCTGTCATTTCCTGGGTTGTTGGTTTTTTTGCCAGTTCCTTCAGAGGAGCTTGAACTTTCCCCTTCATCATCATTGCCTCTTGATCATATGTTGTTTTATGAAATTCTTGTGTGCCAGCCAATTCTTTTTGGTGCATTGACTTTGTGTATTCTTTCCATCTTCTTTTGATGCTTCTGGGATCATTCCATATTCTTCCCATAGCATCCTTAAATAATGCTACTTGAGTCCTGAATCTGTTCTTCAGTTCCTTTAGCTTAAGAATTGCTGAGCAAGTTCATGCTTTTTTTATTTTCTGACTCCAATTCTTTTTACATTTTGTTATAATACCTTGCTTTGTCTTCCTGAGCTATCTTTTGAAATCTTCTGTTCACATTCTTAATTTTCTGATATCTTCCCTTTGCTTTGGCTTCTTGGCATTCTAAAGCAATATTCAGAATCTCTTCTGACATACATCTTGGTGTCGTCTTCCTCCTTTGTCTTTATAGGGACCTTTTTAATTTTTCATAGATCATGCTCTTGATATCCCCATAGCTTTTCTGGTCTTCTTCATTCATCAGTGCTTAAGGCCTCAAACCTGTTCCTGAGATGGTCCTTAAATTCAGATAAGATAGACTCAGGGTTCAATTTTGGTTCCTGAGGATTTGTTTTCATTTTCATTAGCTTCAACTTGAACTTGAAAACGAGTAGTTGATTGTCTGTTTGGAAATCAGCACCTGGGCTAAAAAACAATGAAGAATTCATAAAACACTACAGAACCTGAATGAGTTTTGAGGACATTATGCTAAGTGAAGTAATTCAGTCACAAAAGGACAAATACTATATAAGACTGCTATCTGTGAAAATAGAAGAATGATTGAGGAAGAGAGGAGAGCAGAAATAGAATATACAGATAATGAACATTGTAAAGGATCAAGGGAAAGGAAGATCAGCCTGAAAGAATGGACAGACTAACAGTATGAGTACTGGAAGCAACAACCTGGCACAAGACATGTATAACTGTTCAAATGTGGAGGAGGGATGGAAGAAGGAGAGGCAAGGGTGTTAAAGGGAGAAGAATGAGGGGGAAAATACTAGGGCAGTAGAAATTAGTGGGTAGATGGGTAGGGTGAAGGGATAGAAAGGGTACAATGAGGATCTGAAGAGGTATGGTAATTGTGACTTATGTTATAAAATAAAACATATATGAGTAATTGAATATCAATTTTAAAAAAGAAAATTACACATAAACTGCTACACAATAATAATACTAATGTGCTATTTGCCAGAACTTAATTTTGTGACCATGCTTAGCTGGAAGGGATAGTGAGAAATATTTCTATACCACACAGCCATATACTTTTTTAAAAAGTCTCTAAAATGCTGATACTAGTCATGTATTGAGGCTGATAACCAACTATTTTGGGTGCCAGCACATTTTTGGGGGAAGTAGGGCATGTTTGTTTTGTTGTTTTGATTTTTGGTTTGTTTTTTTTTTTAGCAGCTCTTATCTGCCAGAGCAAAATGGAGGAGAAGAAAGTGAATGGCACAGGGTACAGGAGGCATGGGGCCAGCAGAAGAGCACGAAACAGACCTGGGGAACGTGAATAAGAAAATAGCTTAAACTGGGTTGGAAATGAGATAATTTTGTTTGGGGTATAATGGACTGATGATCTCAGAGACTGAAAACAGGTGCACAGCTAGAGGTCTGGTAGGTGTGCCAGAGAAGTGTATTTGTCAATGACAAGGTAAACAGAGTGGCTGTGGCAGTGGGTGATGGAAGTGAAAGGGAGAGAAGGCACATTCAGTATAAGGAGGATAGGGCATGGTTTGGGAGGATCCTCCCATGAACCCCTTGAAGATGGTGGGATGGGCAGCAGAGTGCAAGGAAGTTGGTGTAGCCGGATGATATGAGACCCAAGGGCTACACTGGGAAGGACAGTTGGAATTCAGAAGGATATCAGAGCACAAGAATACTGATCCATCTTTTGCCATCACCTGGTGACCCAGGTATCATTGTGGAGGTGGATGTGGGGGGGATGACATCAGTGAAACCAGATTCTAGGGAGTGACAGGGAGGGAAAAGATTTCTACGAGGAGGTGGAGGATGAAGAACCTACCCAGTGAATGAGGTATCCAGTGGCACAGATGAAAACCTTGCAGAGAAGTTGAGTTGGGATTTGTGTCTAAGGGGTAAAAATACAAGAATGTGGGCATGAGAGTGGGAGAAAGAACAAAGAAGAAGGCCTGCATTTTAGACTGTCTAAAGACTACAAGATGTGACATCTAGGCATGGAAGAGGGGTGGTGGTCCCAGCTCTCTGAGGTCAGTTTGCATTGGGAACACCCAGACTTTGAGTCAAGAGCAACTCAGGGCTGGTGCAGGACTGCTGGCTGTGGACAGCCTGGTGGGCCCTGGCTGATTAGTTGCCACATCAGGAACCTCTGAAGGCCTAATGGTGGAGCAGGTGTAGGCCAAAGAGTGATTCTTTTGTATGTTAAAAACTTCCCTAGGCTTGGCCCTGAGTTTTCTTGGATGAAATATGAATGTAGGAACAATCATTTCTTTGCCTTGCCTGTTTTGGATACTACTCTGGTTGCTCAACAATGCCAGGAATCATGCTTTTCTAACATCCATTCTGATTTAAAATCTTTTGTTTGAAGTGGACTTTTCTCTGTTGACAGTGGGTTGGGTTTGACTTACTCATTAGGTGTGGAACTCCTGGCTTGTGGTAAATCCTGATTGGAAAACAATATAAAGACATATCCTGGTAAATATACCAGGCAAGTATATAGGGATGTTGGTTTTCTCCTTACCACTAGCACATACTGAAGAAGGAACAATTTAGATGTGCTCTGCATCTGGCCCTCATAAAAAACCTCAGGTGAGTCATGATTTTGCTGTAACCCAGAGAGGGCTTGTCTTGCTTGCAAAGAGAATTGTATTTACCTCCATTTCTACCTGTGAACCTCTCAATTGCTTTATGATGATTAACTTGATTTGTGTACAGAAGAAACTACCCAGATAAGAATTTTAGAGCAAGGGAAAAGATGAAGAGCACTCAGCTCTTTATCCCAGGCAAAATCACCAGCTTTGGGGAGGACACCTGTCTTTAGCCCTGTGGGGAGCCAGTCAAAGAGCAGTGATTTGAATCTTAGTTTGTGAATTAGGATACAGTGCGTTTACTCTTAACTGTGAGCCATGTAATCTCTTGTCACAGCTCATGTAACAAAAAAATTTGTTTTCAGTCAGTTCCAAGTAAGACAATAATGGTGGTTGCTTTTTAATTGGAAGAGGAAAGAATTTACTTCAGAGCACTGCCAGGTGACAGTCATAGAGTCGCTTAAATATGTCAGAAAATTTAATACTCAAAACAACCGTCTGAAACTGAGGCATAGAGACTTGTACACCAATGTTGATAGCAGCGTTATTCACCACCACAAGAATGTAGAAATAATCCAGATGTCCAACTACAATCAAATGGATTGAGAAATTATGGTACATTTACACTATGGAATACTATGCAGTATGTAAGAGCAATAATTTTGTAAGTCAATGCATCAGAGAGTTGGACAATGACTAGGGAGGACAGAAGGAGAGTGGATGCTTTTGAGCTGTGGTGCTGGAGAAGGGTACTGAATGTACCATGGACTGCCAGGAAAACAAACATTCATCTTGGAGAGGATTAAACCAAGCTACTCCTTGGAGGCAAGGATTCTGGGGCTTCATCTGACATACTTTGGACATGTTGCCAGGAGGGACGGGTCCTTGAAGAGGGACATCATGCTTGGGAGGGTGGAGGGACGGCGCAGGAGGGGAAGACCCTCTATGAGATGGATCGATTCAGTGACTGGGGTAATCGGGATGGGTGTGTCAGAGGCACTGCGGTTGGCACAGGATAGAGCAGGGTTTAGGGCTGTTGTGCATAGGGTCGCTATGAGTCGGAAACGACTCAACGGCACATAACAACAACTACCTACCTTTTGAGAGACTGGAGAACATTATGGTGAGTGAACTAACAAGTCCCATAAGGACAAATACTGTATAAGGCCATTATTGTAGAACAATTATGAGGATCCAAGGTGGGGAGCAGAGGGGTTAGGAGGGGAGCAATGGGGGATAATAATAGGGATACCCAATTTGCTAGGTGGGGTGGGGTGGATAAAGGAAATGAGAAAGATCTGGTGTGAAAAACAATGTATGTGAACTTTGTAAATAAACCAGTATAAAAGAAATATTTTCTTTAAATAAAAAACAAACAAACCACTCTGTAGTCCTCTGAGGTGATGTTAAAGCAGCTTTTAAAAATAGATGTACACAGTTAAAAGTACACCTATTCAAAATTTCTACATGGAAGTTCAATAACATTAGTTTCATATTTCATATTGGGTCACTATTTTATCTCTGTCCATATGTTTTAATCACCATTAATTTAAGTTCTGTGACCCTTAAAGCCCTCATTGGTGCTTTAGATTAACTGTTGTCAATTTTAAACTCATATAGATAGTTATCTATAAAATGCTATGTTCAAGGCAAACATTTTCAATTGCATAAATTATTGCTTAGTTTAACAGTAGTTTCATGGGATAGCTTTGAGTCAAAGGGTATTAAGCTGTTCTTTAGAATGGAACTAAAGCTTGGAGAGATTAATTGGCTTGTGTAAGATCACATGGCCTAGTCTTAAATCCATCTCTGTCTGGCTTCAAGCCCTGTGTTCTTCTCATTATTTCTTTCTCATACTGATGTCAATAATTCCTATCTCTCCTTTAGGGGAGGGTTAAAGTACAGGTAGCTTACCTGCTCCTAGGCCTCAGGTTTCCCTATGCCCTACCCCCACAGAGGGCCTAGTCAGGGATGTATTGGGACTAAGCCCATTTTTCTCAGACCCTCTACTTCATTGCAGGAGATGGCTAGCTATTATTTTTAAAAACTGCCTCTAAAGCAAGTTTCAATTGGATAGTACATAACAACAGCCACCTTCTAAAGTGGTAAAGGTGAGGAGCTCTGGTAACATAGTAGGTTATGTCTTGCACTGCTAACAAAAAGGCCAGTGATTTAAGTCTGCTAGCTTTCCTGTGGGAGAAATATAGGCAGTCTCTTCCTGTAAAGGTCTACAGGCTTGCAAGGCAAGGGGAGGGTTACTGTGAGTTGGAAAAGTGGGAAGGAAAGCGAAACAAGAGCTATGTCTCCTCAAGTGGCAGCCAGGCATTTCAGTAGATGACCAATAGTTGTCTTTCCCCACGTAGCACTCGAGGACTAGGATCTGAAATAGCGAAGGTTTTGGGACTTGGTGGAAGTCCTGGTTCCACCTCTTATTAGACATGTACCTTAACTTGTCTGACCTTCAGTTTCCTCTTTGGTAAAATGTAGACAGTGCCCACCTTAAAGAGTAGCTCTTTTGAACTCTAAATGAGATAATGTCTGAAACATGACTAGCTCTGTGTGTCATACTTTATAAAGGAAATGAAAGGCTTGTGTGCACATATGTGTGTTTTTATGGAAGGTTGGCGTAGATCTGAGAGGGACCATTTAGGTACCAAGTAGTTGTGTGTCCCTGCGCCCAAATCCATGTCCATAGTTATTTATTCAGTTATTCAGTAGATGTACTTTGAACTCACTGTGTCAGCTGTTGACACACAGGAGTCAGGTAGTGTCCCTGCCCTTGTGGAGCTCGTAGGTGAACTGATACCAGGTAGGTAAGACAGCCCATGAAGGAAGGCAGCGTCTATTATAGAGCCTGTGAATATGATAGAGTCATAGTCACCGGTGGGATGTGTTAGAATCAGGCATGTACATATCCATGCCTCCTCTCCTAGTTTAACAGGGCTCTCTACATGGGGCATGCCCTTTCCTTAGTACACACGGGAGAGGCGAGGCTGCCCTATGGCCGATAGGAGGAGGCAGAAGGAGGAAGATGAGTCGTCAAGGGGCAATTCTTGTGGCAGAAGCATATTGATGTCTCCCAGAGTTGATGGGACAGTTTGCTCATTACCTGAGGGTTTTATGGAGTGTTACATGTGGCCATATCATTCAGAGGAGGTATATATGAGAAAGACAAAGACTTGATCTAACACCAGTGATTAATCTGTCATTGTGCACCCTGAGCCTCTCTTTGGAGGCAGTTATATGAACTTGTAGGTCGAGACATGAAGCTTGGAGAGAAAGCTTGATGTCACCCTGCAGAACATTGTAGCAATGTTCTGGAGATGATATAGTTGAGAAGCTTAAACAAAGGGAAGAGATGTTGAAGTAAAAGATCTGAACAGAAGATTTCAAAGGGCAGCTCAAAAAACAACAACAAAAAACTACCCTCACAAAAATTCCTAAAAGAACAGCTTGAGAAGACAAAGCAAAATATTAAAATGAAATGTGCAAAGAGCCGTAGTCAGAGAATAAAAGGAGCAGAACTTACCTGGCATTCTCCAAGCTGAAAGAACTGAAAAACAAATTACAATTCAGGCCTTGAATTGCAATACTGAGAAACACTATGGGCAAAATCTTGAATGATCCAGTAAGCATAAAAAAATAGAATACACAGAGTTACTGTACCAAAAAGAATTGACAAACACCGAACAATTCCAGAAAATACTATATAAACAAGAACCAATCAAAATAAAGGAAGAGGCTCAAGCTACCTTGAAGGCATTCTTAAAAAATAAGGCTTTAGAATTTATGAGATACCAATTGACATGCTTTCAACTGCAACATTGAATGGGCTCACCAGACTGTGTCGGAAAATTTGGAGGACAGCTACTTAGCCAACTGACTGGAGAAAATAAATATTTATTCCTATCCCTAGAAGGGTGATCCGTCAGAATGTGGATGTTATTGAATAATATACAAGCAAAATATTACTGAAGATCATTAAAAAAACCCACCCCAAATACAACAGCTAGGATCTGAATTTCCAGCCCTTGGCATAATGAATCAGAATCTATTAACAAGATTCCCATGTGATTCTGACAAATGGTCAGGTATAGATTAATTTCACTGTATTTTACAACATAACAAAGTTTCTTATATAGTCTGCATTTTTTTATTATTGTAAACCTAGTTGCAAAAGTAACTTCTTAAAGATCATATCAATAGTGTGGCACATAGAAATGTTTTAAGTGTAAATATTGAATAGCATCCCAGTATGACCATAAAACATGAATCTGTTTGAGCCAGAACAGGCTAATCTGCA